GTTTAGGTCTGAATTGTTGTGTTGACAAACACAGCACACAGCCTCCTTTCAAAATTTACTTCTTTAGATTTCTAACAATAGGGAGGCAAACCCTTGTCCATAACCAGCAGTACACAAATAGCCAAGAAACATAATCACATACTGTCACTTAATGTAGACATAAGTCAACTTTTTTCTTCTTAGAAGTGAATTGGTAAAAATGTGTTACACAAACGTTCCCCCAAAATAAGTATTACTGGATTTTTTTTTTTTTTGGAACCAATCTTATTGAACCAATAATATTATAGGTGACAACTGGAAACTGTAGCTTTTAGGGAAACAGCATAGTTTCATCTTTTAAAAAAAAGAGAAACCGGTAGTAACTGTCCTCTAGTTTAAATTAGCCAGCAACTCCCACAGTCCCATCGTGGGTGGATCAACCACAACCCACCCCCAAACTAATGCCAATTGTACAAACCTAACAATGCAGGCAAGGATCAATTGAATGAGCTGGCCAAATAATTCAAAGCTGCTAACATGCAATGCAGCCAACTGGACATTTGCAGAGCTGAATCATTAGTCTTCAACCACCCTCTGCACTTAACTGCAAACTACGAAAGATGGAGCTAAAACTACTTAAATAGAATGACAAGGTAGATCTGGGCATCCTATGGCTTACAAGGAGCAGACCACAGACGCTCACATTCGAGTGATTGATTACAGCAAAAATGCCTTTGAATACAAATCTCACCATTATGGTCTGACAAAACCAGGCAAGTTTGAGAACACCACGTTATGAAAATCCTTTCTATCAATAATCATCATTTTTAGTTTCCGTTAAATCCCCATTAACCATCATCAACAATTGACAATCTTTAAGACAAGGTAAATTGGAAGCATTGCTTCCTACTTCGAGTAAATAAGTTGGAAACAACCTTATCATATATCCACAAATGCACAGCATCATTTAAAAAAAAACTCAGAATGCAGACCCAAATTGTGAAATCTCCTAACAAAACAACCAAAACATAGTTTGGGGGAACCAATACTACAATGCAGCACTACATGAAAGTCCAATCATAGGTAATCCATGTGAATCAAATTTTATTTAATACTTTAACTACACGAAATGTGACAGTGTTGCAATTGATTCCCCAAAAATAACCACAGCAGTGAGTAGCTATACTTGAAACACCAAAAGCCAAGGGGAATCAGATTGTGACATACCCTCACGACACACACACACAAAAAAAAGGAAAGCAGCACAAGAGACGCCTGCCAAATCAGGACCTCAACATTATTAGAGCTAATCTGGCAGTGAATGAAATAATATAATCCCGAAAAGGGAAAATACGGGGGACCGCATCCCCCGCGGCGCAGCCAATTTAGGCCCACGACGACACCGCGGAGATCTAGTGGGGACGGACCGTCACATTGCGCGGGAACGGCCAACGGGGGAGAGAGAGATCCACGGGGAAGAAGAAGAAGAAAGAAGGCGAGGAGGAGTGGGGCCTCGTCGTGACCTTGTGGAAGGAGAGGTTGCGCGAGTGGTCCCCCGCTAGCGCGGCGACGCGGCGGACGGCGAGCTCGGAGGAGTTGTTGAGGTTGTCGACGACGACGGCGCGGAATCCCGCGAGGAGGAGCTGCAGCACGGCGTGGGTGCCGATGTAGCCCGCCCCGCCCGTGACCAGCACGGTCCTCCCCGCATTCACGCCGGGCAGCGTCTTCTCCACCGCCATGGCAAGCTGCTGCTGCTACCTCTCCCTTCCCACCGAAGCTACCCACGCACGCCGGCAACGGCCTCGGCCTCCTCGACCAGAGCGCGAGCCGAGGGAGGAGGAGAGGAGGCCCTCGGCGCGCGGATCTGGCCGGACGGAGCCTGGAGGAAGCAGCAGGCGGAATGGCGTGGAAGCTTCGGAATGCTGGGGAGTGGAAGCGAAGAAGTTGAAAGCTTGTTCGGCTGGCTGCGCGCCAAGTTGCGTGCTGGCTTGGGGCGGCGCCGGTGTTAATATCCTATCGGCAGCAGGTGCGGCCGGACGACAGGTTGTAATATCGTGCCGTAGTATTTTTCGGGCACCACAATCGGGTCGGAACCCTCGAATTGAAAGGGAGGGCGGGAAGCGACGCGTCGTTTTCTGCGCTGCGCGCTGTTTGTATGCTGGGCGGTGGCTGGAGAGTGGGGGGCCCGCGCGGCAGTTGGCGGCCGGACGACAGGTTGTCGGTCGTGCCGTGCGGACGGGTGGCCGGACCGCATTAGCGGGCGCGCGCCCGCGTCGCTGGAAATTGGAATGGGTGCTCGCCTCTGGGGTCTGTTTATACCCTAGGGCCCGTTTAGAGGACAGGAGCGACTCCTCGCGCGTCTCGATCGGTAAAAGTCTTAGGGTAAATATGATAAAAAATAATTAATTATTCAATTTGAGGTAAAGGGCGCGTTGAGATCCGAAATTTTTAGGTTTTAATTGAACAATGGCAACAAAATCTGAATGAAAGTATTTAGAATCGAATATTAATTCCTAATTATGGATTAAACTAGACCTGGCCTGTGGCTGGAGAGTGCTGGACTCCGCTTGGCAGTTGGCACCGGATGTTTTGCTTCGGGACGGGGCTCCGGACCGCATTCTGCCGTGCGCGCCCTACGACGGCATGGGTGCTACGCCAAACTATTATACCCCAACCCCCAGAGGAGAAGGAGCGACTCCTCGCGCGTCTCGATCGGTAAAGTCTTGGGTTCTGCTAAAAAAATGGCAAGTCTTCGGTGAGGTTAGTATTGTTATTTGGTTCACCGAATAGTCTTTCAGCTTCTTCAACTCAAGTGATGGCTACGCGTGGAACGTCGTCGGTTGAGTGAAAAAGATTTGATAGCTAGCTAGATGCCCCCTCATGCTGTCATGCAAACTTTTTACTTCAACCAGTGTGTCCCAGCGGGTCATCTTTTGTGCTATACTGCTATCTGTGCCAACCAAAACAAGTGGATGAGCTGTGCTGCCATGCGTCTTCCCAATCAGTGTCACCTGCGCGTGCGTGGTGACGTTTGTTGCTTCTATTCACATGGTGGGGGACAAGACAATGGACCCAAAAACATGAATGATTGAACCTCAGTCCCCCCCATTGAACAGTGGTGACAATCCATCCATACATGCCTCCTTTTCGCATTTGACATGCATGCACGCACACACGATACAAAGAAGGGCATATCCCAAAAGAATATTTCCTATAATTCTTTTCCCTTCTATATATAAGGTCCTGTTTAGTTTCTAAAAATTTTCACCCCAAAGTGCCACATCGAATCTTGCGGCTCATGCATGGAGTACTAAATGTAGACGAAAAAAAACTAATTGCACAGTTGGGTGAGAAATCGCGAGACGAAACTTTCGAACATAATTAGTCCATAATTAGACACTAATTGCTACCAATACAAACGAAAGTGCTATAGTAGCCAAACCCAAAAATTTTCGTCAACTAAACGCGCCCTAAATATAAGTGGTCAATAGATCTCAAGGTTTTAATTTGGAAGCACTAAACCAAAAAAGGCCAAACTAAAACCGCTCACATGTGGAGTGGGACTTCAGCTGGATTTGGGTGTGGGCAGTCTGTCACACCTCACCATCCTTGTCTGGACTCTGCAAGGAGCTCTCTCCTAACCGTTTCCCCTGCTCCCCATGCTTCTGTCGCCGTTGCAATTGCCAATTGTAAAGCCGGCCAAGTCTGGCGGCCACGCCCGAAGTCCAAGCCACTTGGCACCTGGAAAATGCTATGAAATAGCAGCCTCTTCGTTTGGCTGTGGCTTGTCATAAACGATCGTAAATTTTCAATCGACGTCAAAAAGATTTTTTGACCAATGATAAAACGGTCGAACCGAACAAGTTGTAGATTAGGTAGAGTCTTTTACTTGTTTAGCAAATCAAATCACATTGGATTTTTAAAAATTTCAAACCAAAATGAATTAAAAGTGTTTTTCTCTTAAAAACCAAAACCAGGCCGTAGATTAGGTAGAGTCTTTGTACTTGTTTAGCATTTGGTTTAAGGTTTGATATAATCATGGGGATCGGTGTGGCTTCTGGCATTCACACAAACCGAGGATCGGTATCATGTGGCCTCGAATTCCAATGCTTGCTGCCTCTTGACAGAAGAATCCAACGAGCGAAGCTTCCAAGCCGTCCTAATTCTGATGCCTCCCGTTTTCAAAGCCACCGACGGAAAACCAACGGATTCAGTTGTTCAAGATTTACACTCCTGATTGTCCCGATGATATAGCTGCGCATGCCTTCCCTTCGAGGAGAGGCGAAACTACGCCGCCGACAAGTGTAGGCAAAGCTAGGATTACTACTTGACTGCATAGTTGATAGAAAATAATATTGGCATCTGTGCCTCAAATAGGTTTGCTATGAAAAATATATTTCATAATTAATCTAATAATATTTATTTATTATCATAAATTTTAGTATTTTATAGATTTCATAAGATTGAAATTGTTTGACTTCTCGATGATAAGCAAGAATTCCATTCTTCCTAAAACGAAAGAAGTAAATAATAGAGTCGAGACTCAGAGCGTAGGGCTTTCGTATCCTCACGACTCAGGAGAACCTGCTGCTCAACTTCAAGTCTTAACAGGGCTTTTTTAATCAAAGAAAAAGTCTTAACAGGGAAGTTCGGCTCAAATCTGCTCGGAACACATAAGCAAACTAACCTCTAAATGCCACTGCAATACTGCATATATCTAATCCAGTCCCAACTGCTAATGTCTACAGTGATCGTCGAAACAGGTCGGGAGTTCCGAAGCTACCAGCAAAATACCCCAGAACCGGTTACAGTCTACAGTCTGACTCAGAGTTCAGACTGCAACACAAAAACTCCCCAACCTGACAAGGCAGCATACAAGTATCTGAAGCAGAATCATAACTGACCAAAGGCATTTCAGCCACTCAAACCGCAAAGCAAACAAACAGCAGCACAAGCTCAAAATACGACCCAACCCCTGTCAAGTTCTCAGTGTTTCTTCATTCCAACATATCCTCCTCCTCCTAGCGTTCTTCATCCGTCAGTTGCTTGGCGCCACCTTCAGTCCTGCGTCGTGCCGCCAGAAGACTTTCTGCCACTTTCAGCATGGTGTCAACGCCCTCAATCAGCTCTTCCTTGTCCATTTCAGCATACAAACCTGTCCAATAGTTCATTAGAGAAACTTAAAATTCAATAGTTTCTCCCAAATATGCTCCCAAGTATCCCTTAAATTGTCAATCAGCCATCTCCTAGAAGTTACCACAATTTCACCCTTTTTGACTTGAGCTACACTTAACTCTTTATTCTCACACAATTCATATAAATCTGGAAATAATGTCTCCAAAGGTTTTTCATATAGCCAAGAGTCCAACCAAAAACAGGTGTAACCTTTCTTACATGCAAATATATGTCTTTAACTTTGAGTAAATCATACCAAACAGGAGAATCATTATATTTGTGCTTCACTTGAGGAATAGAACCAGTTTTTGAGCAGTCAAGCAAGAATTGCGAGCCAAGGCGAGGGCAGACGAGTGGGTGCCAGACGCCAGTGCGAAGGCGAGGATGGAGGGAAGGTGGGCTCCGGCTTCTGATAGCAAGGGCAGAGCTGCGGACGAGCAGGCTTAGCCACCACCACCACAGAGTGCAGCCACCAGCCGTGGGAGCCGTGGAGTGCGGGCGTGAGCAATTGCAGGAAGAAGAAAGGAAAGAAGAAAACAAAGAGAGAGGGACTCACGGGTGGTTTCCACCGTCAGATGCATGATCCCACTTTTTAGTGTCCCCAAACCAAGCACAAGATAGGGACGGTCCCATCCCTCTCAACCAAACATGAGACGAGATCATCTCGTCCATAAAAACTGGGATGGGACTGTCCCATCCCACTTCCTCCAAACTAAACACTCATATTCTCCAAAGTTGAATCCTCTCAATATTACCACTAGGCATAGTTGAAATTAACAGTGAAGACAAAGAACAATTAAAATGTTGACCTGCTCTTGAGATGTTTGCTACATCTCTTTAGTAACTACTAAAGGTTTGCACTTTAATGCCTCCATCAGTAGTAAAACTTTAAGTGTGGTAGGCGGATGAGGGGCATAACAACACAGCAACTAGAAACACCTAGTTTCTACTTCTTAAGCATACTTTTATAAATTTAAGAAGAGCTAACCAAAGTATTACTGTTTTTTAATTTCAACTCAATGGAGAAGGATCAAGACACCAAAAATACTTGATTGCAATCTTTTGAGCTCATACATTAAATATTCTTAGTGCATATTAATTCATAACCTGCAGCAGGACCACTATTTCAACAAAAGATGGCATTCCCTCTGTTCTTTTACAAGGGCGTTTCCTTACTTGCCACTGGCAAGAGAATCTCAATCCCCGATATGCCATCAGGATATGTCGACAACATGTAGGTCCAAGGCCCATGTGTCATAGACAGAGGTGATGAAAATTTCAGATTAATGAGATTCACTATGTCACGTGAAAGATTATTCCTTTTTATACTACAAATATTTTGCAGTCTCTAAGACAAAGTTTTACAATTAATTTCTATACATTAGTGAAAATAGTAACAAATAAGAAGCTATGGAAGTATCTTCAGTTATAATTTATAAATCTAATTCTGTACATTTGAAGTGGTCAATGCAAAGGCTTCAACATATATCCATGGTACATATTCTAATATTTGACCATAAGGCTTCTAAAGTGTCATTCATATAAGTATTATTCACAAGACGCAAAATGTTTTGTTACCTTGCACTTATGTTCGACATAGCAGCCAGAACTTGGGAACCTCTTCCTAATACCAAAAAGATTTCTTTTTTGCAAATTGAAAGGCTAATAGTTCATGCGAGGTACATCGTAGACATGGCGACTGGTGCAGAAGTTTTGAAAACTTCATTAAAAGTGCAATGATATAGTCAGATAACTCATTTAGATATACATTAAATGCTTTAAAATCCCTCACATATATCATCACTTACAGCATGACTCCCATAACTCCTTGACAGAATGCTAGTTTTCTTAAACAAAGAGGTCAATAGCAAGATCAATATGGTAAAGATTATCTACAAAGATATGTAGGAATATTAAATGAAAAAATAACAGTACTCTATGAAATGTGTCATCAAATTATTCATTTCATACATTAGGATTCGAGTCAAAAAATTTATTTTCTATAATGCTTATTTTTCATCTATATTAATACATTACACATTTAAATGCTGGAAAGATATGTAACATAGCTAGATATACATGAATCTGTGTACATACGTAAAAAAAAAGAGAAACTTTTCAACTAACCATTGAGTAAACTTGCCAATGATCATGCTCCCATTGTTTACTGCTATGCATATGATAAATTAATCAAATTTTCCCCACATAACATTAGAAACGGCCCGCCATTGGTGAATATAGCGATGGCACAATGATAAAATTAATAGTGACACAGTGGTAAGCTCATAGTATACATTAAAAGAGAAAAGAAACATGACAACTGGGTTTAATTTGTTAGCCCAGAATTTCAGTAGCAAGGTAGAAACCGTAGAGGTACTTCGGCAACCAAGTACTGTGAACAATTTGGATTCTTTTTATTTTAAAGAAATATAGACAAGCAGTTACCTGAATCATCGACACTTGCATAGGGATGATTATTGGAGATCATATTTGTTTTCCAAAGTTTTGTGAACTGCAGGGAGTTGAGTTGTAGAAAGCAGCAACTGCCATCAATCCATAGTGACATCACATTGATATCATCAGCATAACCAAGTATCGCCATACTAGAACTCTGCCCAAGAATCTTCTGCAGCTTATCAGACTTCCTCAGCACCAAGCTGGCAACACCTTCAGAACAAACCTTCCTCTCTCACATTTGGAGGCTGTTGCCTGACAGAATGGCCAGGCACAGAACACCGTTTTGTGCTAGCAAGATTGGAGAACGGCCCTCTGAAACTTCTGCACCGGAAGGGCACTCAACCAACACTAGAGTATGTTTGTCCAAATCAAACTCAGCAATGCCATAGTAATGACCAAGAGGCATCCAATACTGCCAACCAGGACGCCGGGACAACCAACATAATAAACCACAAACGGAACAGCCGCTGAGACGAGATTGCTCCATTTGCCTGTTTGTGATGAGTAAATGCAGGCGAACACCTGTGTGTCATTGCTGCGGGTGACAACAACCACGGCCACCTTGAAGGGGCAGGAGCAGAAACCGCCGTGGACGTGGCTGTGGTCGCTGGCAGCAGCGCAGAGTACCGCACCGTTCCAGATCGTCCTCTCTCCGTTATCCAACTCCGGCGGATCGGCAACCCGGCGGTGGTCGCCTGTTGGGGGATCCCACACAACTATCTCCTTCTCCTTCAGGCTGTAGAGGAGCACGCGGCCGTGGCGACATCCGAAGTTTCTCCAATCGTTAGGGTCACAGCCACCCTTCTCATCGACGATTGGCGGACAGAAGTGCCTGGGTGGGATGAGATCTGGCGGGTCCATTACGGATCTGAAGAAAGGGAAGTCTACAAATTCATCGAAGAAGCCGATAAGGGGGCGATTTGGGTAGCGGGAGCGGAGGCGGCGGCGGAAGTGGGGATCAGTGACGAGGCGGCGCCAACGCTTGCAGACGAGCGAGGCGCGGGGGAGCGAGGAGGGCCGCGGCGGTAGGCGGAGGAGGATCTCGGAGAGGATGTCGTCGTCGTCTGGTAAAGTCGCCGGCGCGGCAGCGCGGCGGTGGCGGCCTGAAAGGTTGTTTTGGTAACTCACGTGCACTAATCGTGTTTAGGTGACGTACACATATGATTAGTGCACTGGTATATGTGCTAAGAAGGTGGAAATGGTTTTGGAGATATTGCAAAGCTCATATATTTTATGATGAAGGAGTTCATTGTAAATAAGACATGATATTGAGTTATGTGATCAGAGTGGAGAAGATCCCAAGACATAACTTGCTTGATGGACCGGTTGCAATAGTAAAGGGTCGGAGGCTTTGTAGCGATGGACCGCGTGGCGATGAAGCTTGAGTAAGACTTGGCGTCGATGGACAAAGGCAACGGTGAAAAACAAGTGAAGTCAAGATTGATGAACCAATATGATCACGTGATGATATGAAGTGGATCATATCATTGTTGATCATGTTGGTGCATGTGTTGCATCGACATTGGAGGAAATAGAATGGAATGCACAAAGCAAAGGTATAACCTAGGGCATTTCATTTCATCGATCATAGGTGTATAGAGAAGTTGATGACCGGGTTTAGGATAGATGATCGTACTATCAAGAGGAGCAAACTTGTTTACGTATCGGACATCTAGTGTCACTCGAGTGATCCAACTTTGCATCGTCGCTAGGATCAAGTGGCGTGATAAGTTGAGTGGCTAATCCTTTGAAAAATATTTATGAAAAGCTAACACACCTACACATAATGGTGTACATTTGGTGGTGTTGGCATATTTATAAAGGAGAAGAAGTTGGTGAAGAAAAGGGGTTAGTCGCGCTAGTCACAGAGTGACCGGACGCGTCCGGTGTGGATACCAGACGTGTCCAGTATGTTATCCAGACTTCGGGTAGTCTGGTAGAAGTGACCGAACACGTCCGGTGTGGCTACCAGACGTGTCCGATATTTAGACCCGAGGTGAGCGACTAAGTGAAAGTGACTGGACTCTGGCTCAAAGGAGTGACCGGACGCTAAGGAGTTATTGTTCAGCGTCCAGTCAAAGAGACATAGCCCAAGGTAGGATCACAGATAGCGACCGGACGCTGCGATCGGATGCGTCTGGTCGGTGTGTCCGGTATGACTCGGCAGTCTCGGGTTTCAGCGCTATAATTGATCAGACGCTGGAAGCATCCGGTCCGGTTGGCCCTGGGAGCTTACTGGACTCGATCGGCCGCTGCGGCTCAGCATCCGGTCGTTTCGAACAGCACGTCCGATGCGACATGTCAGAGAGAGCCGTTGGTGGCAACGGTTAGTTTAAATGGGACACATGGCGGGTCAGCTGCTACTGGGCGTGTCCGGTCACCACTGGACGCGTCCGGTGCAAACGATTTGCGCGTCCGATCGTCCTGAAATTTACCTAGTGAAGGGGTAACGGCTAGTTTAGCCTATAGGGCTATAAATAGAAGGTGGTCTCGGGCATGGCTGGTGCTGAGCACCTTGGGAGACTTTGTGTCCATACTTATGAGTGCTTAGGAGCCCTCTATCTCATACATGCTTGATAGCAATCATCCGATTATGTGAGTAAGCGATTCTATTGCGATTGCATCGTGAGGTTACATCGAGTGGTACTAGGTGATCGAGTTACAAGCCAGTAGTGCTTATTACTCTTGGAGGTTGCCACCTCCTAGACAGCTTGGTGGTGGTCTCTGTCGAAGCCCACAAGAAGCTTGTGCGATACTCCGGAGAAGAGCTTTGTGAGGGGTATTGTGCTCGCCCCGCGGGAGCCACGAAGAGCAACTCTAGTAGAGCGTGTCATTGAGTTACCCTCACTTTCGGGGAAGATTCTCGCGGTGCCCGACGTGCGGGCTTGGCGGGTGATGCCAATTAGCCGCCGAACCACCAAGTGAGTGGTCGACACAACGGGGACTAACGTGTTGGCAAGCACGTAAACATCGGGAGAAAAATCACCGTGTCAACTTTGTTCTTTCCGGTGGTTTGCAATCCCCTTACATAAGCTTGTAATTACTTTCATATACATTGTGCTTGTGTAGTTGCTCTTGTAATTAGTTAGCTTGTGTAGCTCACTAGTTACCTTCTTGCTTGTGTAGCATATGAGTAGCTCCCTTGTGTGGCTAATTCAGGTTTGTGTAACCTTATTAGTCACATTGCTTAGTTTATGTAGCTAAGTATTTGCGCTATCTAATTTGGCATTGGTTGCCTTGTTATTGAGCATTGCTAGTGAGCTTAGTTAGCTTTGTGCTTTTGCTTACTAGCATGTATAGGAGCTCCATCGTTGCTTGAAATACTAGTAGCATATGTTTATGTGACCTTGCTCCTAGAATTAGATAGGTGAGCTCTAACTAGCCCGGCACCTTTGTTGCCTAACTAGGATCTTTATAAGGTGCTTGTGAACTTTGATAGAGGGGTGTAGTCTTGGCTAGACCGAATTGTTTTAATTCCGTATTTGTTTCAGTTAGTCGACGCGATTAAATATAGAAATGACTATTCACCCCCTCTAGTCGCCATCTCGACCTTACACGGCCGCACATCATCTCACATCTCGCCGCCTCCAATGGAGTTAGGGAGACCGGAGATGACAAAGGAAGTTCAGATCCTATGCATTACAGCGACAAGATTACCAAGCAGGGGTTCCATGGCGGCCGCGAGCGTGGCGGCTCAGGATGGAGAAGAAGCGAGGGTGCTGCAGATCCGCCTCCGGGGCTAGCGAATGTGCGGGTGCTGTGAAACCCTAGCCGCTGCACAAGTGAGCGGATTCAAAGAGAGGGAGGGAGTGCGGACTACGGAGGGATGAGGAGGGAGCTGCGGCACAGAACAATTTTTTTTCTGAGGGGATGTCTGCCCTTCGTCTCCGGTCTCCCAGTCCAGTCCAATATACAACCCAAAAAAAATAAGGAAACCATTATAAAAAGATGGCAGTTGTTTATGAGTTACTAAAACTTCGAGTGGTCATCTTAGCCATAGGTAGAATTTTTTTATCGTCCATGCCATTCCATTCATCTTCCACTGGTTTTCGCCGTTTGCTAGCCCTGACATGTGGGCCCGACCAAAGAAACTGTCCCATCTCTACCAATCCCTCCCCATGTCAGGCTCTTGCCCCTCCGGCGCTCCCTGCACTCTTGTTCGAGCACCCCGTCCTTGTCATCATGGATGCCATGTGCACATCCTCGCCACCAAGGACACAGTCTTCTCACTCGTGGCCGCAGCCGTAGCTGCGCCATCCTAGTTGGCTCGCTCGCAGTGTCCGGCCAAATCGCGGTGAGCACCTCGCGGACTACTATCGTGGCTTTGGCGCTCTAGCCCATCTCGCAGGATGGCCATGCACGCGAGATGGCCCGTGCGTCTGTGGGGGTGGGGCGGGGCGCTTGTGGCAGCGCCCACAATGACGAACCATGCGGCCGCGAGGTTGGGCGAGGTGTAGGTTAGTGGTGATGGCAAGCGCCTCGCTGGTCCAGCTCCTTGGTCAGCGCCATGGCCGTCTGCGTGAGCACGTCCCTGTGCATGTGCTCGTGCATGCTGGTTTGGCAAAGGTGCATGGCAACAGGTGCAGCAGGTCTAGCCACTACATGGCGTCGACGCCGCTGAGGTCGACGACGTGCACTGTCTTCTCCGACTGCATGGCCTTCAGGACGCACTGGTTGGTGGCGGTGACTGTGAGGCGGAGGAACAGGCAAATGTCAAGGAAGCGGCGCCTCGCGGTGGCGAGCTCGGTGAGCGGGGCCCGGCCTGGGGCAGGAGCAGCGCGCACTACGTCAGATATGCTTTGTAGGGGCGGCTAATGGGCATTTGTAGGGATAGTTTGGCCAGCCGCCCCTATCAAAGCGTGGCTACAAATCGCCGATTTGTAGGGGCGGCTGGTAACACCAGCCGCCCCAACAAAATTGATTTGTAGGGGCGACTGTAGTACCGGTCGCCCCTATAATACCTGTTTGTAGGGGCGGTTCAATTTAGAACCGCCCCTACAGTACATTTTTCGCCAAAAAAATCAAATTTACAATTCAAATTCGACCAGAACACACATATATATATGCATATATAATTCGAATCTGACTAGAATATATATAATACAAATCTGACCACAAGCACATGAGTATTATATAAACTACCATTACAAGTCCAATTCACAAGAATATATACAATCCATTATTAAATAGACATAATTCACAAGTCTAATTCGTTCCACTTCTCCCTCCCCTCTCTCTAGCGCGTGGTGCACTGGGTGAACGGGGCGACAGTGGTGCAGCAGCTCTCTCTCCTCTCTATCTCGTGGCAGCGCTCCTCGCCGGTGGCGAGCTCATGTGTTCTCACGGCTTTGTGCGCTCACGGCGAGTACACCGGTGGGCCAAGGGTGGCACCTTGGTGGCTATGGCACTCGACGTAGATGTCGCGGCACGGACGGCGGCGGCGCGGGTCGATGGTAGTGACCTAGAGGCACGGCGGAGTCTGCACCGCGGCGAGGTGCGCGGCGGAGCTCCCACAAGGTAGGACTAATGTCAAATTCCATACACATTGTTATCAACGGCCTAGAGCTAGCCTTTCAGTCTCACGAAGGTGTTGGTACCGATGATTTCTACCTAAGTTAGCATCTCGGTCATGGTAGGTGCCTTTGACGTGTACAATCTGGTCCAATATGAAGTTGCAAAGGTCACCGATGATCTCTAAGAGTTGGTCATCTTTGTATGGGTCTCTTTTCATTTCTTTCTCTTCTTTCCACTACAAGAGAACAAGTTTTGGTTTAGTATTTCATATCATGTGTGAAGTTTTTATACTACGAGTGAAGATGTTCGAACTTACCCTTAAGGGGTGTCTCCTATAGGCACCGGTG